CCTGCTAGAAGCAACTTGGGCCCGAACTAACTTAGGGTATATCACTCCTACCTATGCCCGATCTAACCATCATATCCCCGACTGAAAAGCTTTTTGACACCTCGGATGGTTCCCTTGTCAGTTTTGACACATGGAATGTAGTAAACCAATTATTGATAATGTTTTTCTCAGCTATCTTAAAAATCTGACTTCAGATTATTAACCTCGTAAATTGGTCACCAAAACGAATAAAGTGATATCTTCGTCTTTTTTCTTTTCTGGCCAATTTAATTGCATTTATCTATTTTTCCTATCAGTACTTATAATGGTAGAATATAGAGCGTGAATACGATTGCTTATTTTTATGAAGAACATGGTATGTCTCGCCCATTGAGCTCTATGTTCTGATTTTTCGTTCGAAAAGCTCACATCCAAATCTTTCCTGTCAACATGGATATCGATTATTAAGAAGCAAGAGTTAAGATTTACAGATTCGAATACTTCTTGAGTTTCGAAATAGTCACATACATTTTTGTTCACTATGATGCTCAAGTTTAGAATTACTAATTTTTGTATGCATTCACACTGGTTTTATTCTTTGGAATTTTCTCATAAGTAATCGAATGTTGAAAAAATATAGGTATTGACAGCAGTCGATGGCATCGACGAATACTATTCTTGGATTAACCTTCAAACTCATATATATATATATATATATATCAGTTTTTCTCAGTCATGCAAAACAGACAACATAAAATCATTTCTTAGAAGAAAATGAGAAAAATATTAAATCAAAAACAAAATCTTGATTATATATCACACTGAAGATGAATAAACTTGACGCGTTTATAGTTCTTTTTTTTTCCTGCTAACTCGTTAATGCTCTTTCTGAGCCACACCTTAAGAGCCCTACAATTGTCGACTAATGAGAATTTCTTTTCTTTCCATGTAAGCCATTCGGTCATCTCCATCCAAGAATTGACTGATGTCCAGTATGGGAGAAATGTTATTGTAGATAAAAACTCGACACGCTCGATAACGGATTTCATACAATAAACATCCTTAACTCGCAATTTTAGATGACCTACATGCGATGATGCAATATGACAAATATCTTCTATTCTTGATATTGAATCACCATAAATTGATATTCCAATTGTTCGAACATTGTATGCTTGTTTTAGCAAAGCATTTATTGTGCTCAATTCAAAACTTTTATTTTCATATGCTATGAACCAGACTTCATGAAGTTTCGTCAGATCAGTCAACGTCGAAAGAAGTTCAAGTGAGTCAAGTGGCCATGAATCATCAATATATAATGCAAGTTCAGCCATATTCCGGAAAATACGGTTCTTAGGTCGGACAATCTAGAATAAAAGTTACATACAATATAAATCAAACGTCTTCGAAAATACTTTCATTTGATTATGTTCTAGTGGAAGATTCTAAACTCTCTAAAGGATGCACATAAATCGAGTGACGATCTGCAGAAAAAACAGTGAACTTTGTAGTATAGTCAGTTATGATGATGATATCTTCCGACAATCCATTATCAATATGTATAAATGAATTAGAGAAGTAAACGGCAAAATTGGACAACAATGTGATCATAACGTGAACGAATGCAAATGATTGTTTTCGATATTTGTATAATAATTTATACACATTGATTAATGAACATTTTTTTTCCGGTTAAAAGATGTTGTTTCAACTGTTAACTTTATTGGAACAACTTAGTCGCAAAAGAAAGTTAACTTTCAGTATCTTTAGAAAAAAGCGTTATCTTTTGTGAAAAGTGAAACGACTTTGATAATTAACTCATATTTATAGATTCTGAAACTAGAACTTTTGTTCTATGAATTTATAAAAAAAGTTTTTCTTTCTCTTTATTTTCATTCAGCAAAATTATATTTTTTTGTACATTAAACGTTTGACAAAAATATGTCTTCAGCGAAATTGACGACTACTTTTTTCAATGATTCGATGTGGTTTAGAGATGCGAGCTTTCTTAGCAATCGGGGATTTTTGATAGATTTTTGTGTTGTTTTTGTTACAGAAGTACGTTAAGAGAAAAATAAGAATATATATCGAATCAGTGTGAAAAATTGCATCAAGTCATGTGTCATTTACTAATTTTTACAATAAAACTATTTTGATAAAGATTTAGGGTAGAGTGTCTCCCTCTGAAATTTTCATTTCGTCGGCAATGACTTTTTTCCGAATTTTACCCTTTTTCATCAGTCTTATTTTTTGAATACCAAAAGCTCATATTTCTATGAAAAAAAAGATGTTTTTGACAAAAAATAAGTTACACTCATGTGCTCTATAGAAACAGGTTACTTTGGATGGATGCAGAACTCGAAAGAATATTATCGAAGTTGAAAAAGAAATAGAAATATCAGAGATGTACGCAATTGCTAATTGGAAACGGAACTTTTCAAAAAACCTTTGAAATAGGAACGGCAACCAAAACATATGTGATTTTGTTTATCTCTAATCGACGTACCAATACCAATTATTATTGGATATCTCGAAAATAATAAGATGTATCGGTATACATACCTCTCCTGTGGAAATTGCTTTTATCATCCATGCCAAATCGATGCGAACAGTCCACACACTGTTCATCTTTGATGTATCATCGATTTTTGTTGTGGAAGTTGAGTATGATATTCCAGAACCGGCAAATTGGTCAGGAGGATCATTGGTTGAAGTCTTTGATAAGAGAAACAGGATAGTTTGCGGCACCGCTCTACCTTGATAGACGTATTCACATGTGACAAACCAGCGTTTTTGCTCCGACCAAAATGGTGTACGAAATACAGCTATAATCGATTCTATATTTTGAATATCTTCATAGTTACGCTTCGAACTAAAGAACTCGAAATAGAAGTGTTCAAGTTGACGTAATTTCTGAGGAATAAATTGTTCCCATTGACAAAATCGTTGTAGAAATGCCAGTGACGAATCTAATCGTCTTCCTAAATCAAGATAAACAAGTGAGGGTAGAAGTGAAAGAAGATATTCGAGTTCATCTATTAACATATTCATTCTCTTCAGCGTCAACGACGTTAATTGCGTGAATGGAGTTAAATGGATACTTTTATCGATATAGTTCATATCACAATAATCAAATGACAACATTTTAAGACTTGATAAATTATGCAAAATAGAAAACAATTGCATATGAGTACATTCGCTGATGCACAATTCTCGAAATTTACTTTGCTTCGACCACGATATTTCATCAAGAATTTTTTTTTCGATCCATAAGACCAATTTGTGAAGACTTGGCATTGTAATTATTTTGGATAGATGAATAAGAGTATCATTATTGATCAAATTTCTATTATATATTGTTAATGATAATGATCTGAGTTTAGAAAGGTCTGTAAGATGATGAATTATGCTTATGAGATGACATTCTTTCATAAAAGAAAGATTTAATGTGCGAAGTTGAGTATATTGATGAATATCAGTGAAGAAGAAAAACCTATTCATGTCGTCGAATATCGAGGATAAATTGTCAATAGTCAATGAAACAACATTTTCAGGTTGAATTATTCGATACATATGTTGAATATGAAATTTTGATGATTTCTCAGTTAATTTAATTACCAATCGATTATAATTATTCGTAATCGAATGAAATCTTGTGCAGACGTTTCGAAATGAGAATAGAATATCATGGAAATTCATTTCATCAAGAATACGATAGATGAGTTCGACGGGAAGCGCCAATAGAGTTGAGATAGGACTCATCGAATTATTGTTTGATGAGAAATAACGTTATTTTCATCATACAGACAGGATTTTGTTAGTCGAAAGGGAAAAAAGGAAACAAACAAGTGAGTCATGAATGACTTTAATGGCTTTTTCTTTTTTCGATAAGAAAAAAAAACAGCAATAGTAACATAGCCTGAAGAGTTTGTTCTTTCAAATATTTTGATAATATTCAAGATAGGAAAATGCTGATTCTCCTTTCGAATTGTCTACTAGTATAAATTTAATGCTTCATTGATGTTTCACAACAACGACTTTTTATCATTGAAACAAATAATAAATATCTATAAAATGAGATTCATAGTGTTGGATGATGATTGAAAGTGAACAAAGAAGTGAATCACTCTTTAGAATAGTAAATTGACGTTAGACAAAGTTAGAAAAATGTTACTAGTGGTTGTGAAATTACAACAAACAAATGTATATTACGAATATTTTGTTTTCTTTGAGTAATCATTAACAATAACATTGCCTACAACATTACGAATCAGAAAACATCAAGGATATGAGAACAGATGGCGCCTAATTGTGAATATTTGCGAAATTATGATTTCATAAGACACTGACATTATTTTTCGTATGGGTTCATAGTCTACAATAAAAAGTCTTCGATTTATTCTCGTATTTGTTTTTCAGTAGAATGAATTACATCGCAAATCATAGTCAACATACTTGCAAAAGCAATGCGGATGACACATCTGTTAAATGTTGCTCACCTATTTTGGATAAATACATAAACTTAGTAATATCGGTATAAAAATGAATTGAGAGAGACGTTCTTTGTTGATGTATCGAATTTAATGTCGATTCGAATCGATATGAAAACGAATATGACGTTATGAACGGTTTCAAGAACCATTTAAACAAATTCTAACTTGGACAGTTAATTCTGTTGCTTTATGTCATTGACTAAATATATAATCAGAAAATAATGTCGTCAGTTGGAATCAGAGATGAGTGAATCTGGCTAGGAGAAGACACCTCTTTCTAATCTCCCGAATAATAAACAATTCAAAAGTTCATTTTTCGACAATTTCACGCGCATTATAACGAGATATCTTTGCTTGGTGGTGCATTTTCCTTCAAGACATCGAGGAGTAGTCTTTTTCTTTATAGCTTTGGCAGTTTGGGAATTGACATTCGATGATGAATTCAATTGTACAAGTTTCGTCTAGTGTGACCGATTGAGTTAAAATTTCTTTTTTGTGGCATCTTAGTACATGGTAAACGTAGGTTTTTCATTGTCAAAAAAACCAAATACATGACTCATGAATGCTAAAGTACTAGAAGTTTTGTGAAAAAAACTGTATTTGTGGAATTGGTTCATATTTTCTGAAATCTGTCAAAATTTAATCATACGTACATTATTTCTCGAAGAAAAAATAAATAAAATACGAACTGCGAATTATTTGGAAAAGTTACAGAAAAAGTTTCAGCTAAATTATTTGTAGTAGGTGAAAGAATGGAAGGGATAGAATTCTAAGTTTTCTATTTTAAAGAATTGAATTTGAGACAAACAAAAAAGTTCCAACAATGTGCTCAATAGGTAAAGAACAATCTAGGCTATTCTCAATGACTGAAAAAGTCAAAAAAGATGAAAGCGAAAAGTTTTAGGCCATAATGGGAATGTCTTTCACAGTCATATGTTTGTATCAAACATTTTTTATGATTATCTCTTATTTGCTGCTATCTTCATTGGCAATTTCTTTTATTATTATCTTATCAAGTCAATATTACATTCATTCTATTAGTCTTTCTCTTGCTTTATCGTATATAACAAGCAATAGGAAGTACAATAGCGAAAGAATCCTGTTGATTAAGATTTCTGCCTTTTTTCTACATGGAGAATGGTGCGAAAACGATAAACACACAATATTGTACTTAGATATTTGAGTATTAGTTTAGACGATGACTTCATGCATAATTTTAATTAGGTATGATCTGAAAAAGTTTAGTAAGCACATTAATGATCGATTCAGTGATTGTACAATGCTCTAGTAAAATGACAAGACAACATGTTTTGATTCTATTACCTTAGTGCCAAAAAGTGAAACGATATTTTTGATTTTACTAATCTTAAATGCTACTAAAATCTTCATATTAATTCGTAATTTGAGACAATTGGATTTTTTCTTTATATTTTCCAACGAACTCAAATGTGAATACCTATTAGAAAAATATTCAAAAATCATTGAAATATTATATCAACACACAGATTTATTTTAAACTATAAAAGGAAAATATTAATGCAGCTGTTCAACAAGATGAACCATTCAAATATTAGAGAAAAAAAGTAAAAATCAACTTGTGATTTGTCAGAAGAAGTCAGTTTATTTTGTCAGTTGCGTGTATTCAAAGATATTGTTTTAAAATTACTTTACATTGAACAATAATTGAAAAATTAAAACAATAATTATCATAATTTGTCTGTTAAAAAATATAATGGTCGTGGCCAGCTTTGCAATAACTCAAGCAAGGAAACAGCTAGAGAGCTGCGATTTTCACCAGTCGAGAGAGACGACTATAGGGCATCTTGTTCTTCAATATTGTATAAGACGAAATCATTTTAAAATCAATCATTTCTGCAGAACATTGCAAAAAATCCATGAAAACTGTCTGTCGTTCCGATGAAATTTTGGTTTTGATATGTGATTTGGATAGAAGGACCTTAGATCTATAGTTTAAAGTATAATTTGAATGATCATCTTCACGCACTATAATGTTAAGCAAATCAAATTCTTTATTTACTCCCGCAAATCTCCTACCCATGTTATATATTATATATAGCATCGTTATTATCGATCACTGTTGAGTCGACCGAATACATATAACAATTGTTATATCGGATTCGCCGACTTCAACTTTGCATCATATATACCATTATCACAACTTCCATCGTATTACCTCTTTTCACGAGACATAAGACATTCGTCATGCGTCTCGGCGTTTCTCTCAAGCCTTCTGTACATTTGTATTATATTGTTGTTTCTTTTTCGTCAACATCTTAATAAAGGCTTTGACTCCAAAAAAAAATTGACTCCCTCGAAAAGTATGAATTTCTCTTCATTTTTAAGCAAATTTTCTCACTTTTCGTCAAAATTTCATATCAACGACAGATCATTTTTCTTATACAATATTAGAGAAAAAGATGTCCTAGTGTCGTCTCTTTCAACGGGTGAAAACTGCAACTCTCTAGCTCTTTCTTTTATTGAGTTATTGCAAAAATGACCACGACTATTATTTCTTTGCCAACCGACCAAATAATAAACAACAATTGAAAGAAATTGAGAAATTTAATCGTGAATACAAATGAGTAGATGTCATTAAATACTATATTGGAGAGTCATTTTTATACAAGCAATTGAATCATACCTTTTCAGCTGAAGATATTGATTGTTTGTATACATTTTGTTATTTTATTTGTGATCTTTCTCGAAAGTTGAAACAAGAATAGTATATACAAATGGAATTATTTGACTCGACAATTCAATTTTATTGTAACATTCGATTATTGAATGAAGGAGGCGAGAAATTGGAAGAGAATATTGGTTAAATTATGTTAATGAATGTGTATCTATCGATAAAACTTATTACAGAGACTGTTCCAAGGGGGAAACGACGAGTTGTGAGTTTTTGATTTAAAATGAGTTTGGTGATTTAAAATGAGTTCGGTGATTTAAAATGAGTTCGGTGATTTAAAATGAGTTTAACTGAGTTCGATGATTTAAAATGAGTTCGGTGATTTAAAATGAGTTTGTGTGATTTAAAACAATGTAAATCATTCTCTCTCGTAGATGAAATTTAGCATTTATTACTATTTTTATATTTTTT